TCTTGGGATCTCTTTTTAAATCGATCGACCGTTGCTACAGAAATAGACGAAACTAGCACTTTTTACCAATTATGACGTAGACTCGATTAGAAATTTATGCCATTATCCTGATCAAGCTGATTCCAATCAGCTGTCTGGTTTGTGTAAATAATATTATCGAGTTTTCATTATTAATAGGTTAATTATTAATAATTAACTAAATAATAATTATTATTCCTGATTGTCCTATACTTACATAATATATCGGGATCCGACAACATCATTTTGCACAAGCCAAATAACTGAGTGAGATCAACTTGATCAGGACTATGGTGTAAATTTTTAGTCGGGGGTCTCTTTAGATCCCATTCAATTGAAGTCAACTTTCCACTTGCTCGCGTGAGGTGTTCCCTGACTCATTTCAGATATGCATAATGGGATAACTGATATAAAATCAAACAATTCCGATTGGAAAGTTTTCACGATGCGATTCCATGATAGACACTCGAATCCTATTTCGTAAAAATAAATTGCCCCATCGGGTTGACGTCCTCTGAACATACCTAGTCACTGGTGGATCATACGCTAAACTTTATAAATGTAATCCCTTTCCCTAGCATAGTGACACTTGAAATTTTCGATCAGGTCTATCTTATAAAATATTCGTGCATCAACTATTGAATATTTTAACAATTACCGATTTTTCCAATAGTCAACAATAATAACGTACGAATATTTTATATATGATATACCTGATCCAGAAAATTTCGAACGTCACTATGCTAGGGTATGGGACTGCACTTATAGAATTTGTGGTGTACAGTAAGGTACATTAATGGGATCCTCTTATCGAATGTGGAAAAATGCACGTCACCTATAGGCTCCCGAAATTAATGCACAGATTCCGTGGGAGTCTAGAGGTGGCGTGCACGTCAACACATTTCAGGAAGGACACCATTAATGTACCTAACTGTACAAACAACGTCCTCATCGAAACTCTCGTGCCCATAGAGTGATTTTCCGATATTCCGTAGCCTACTGTGTAAAACACTTTCACGATACGTGTCAGCGCAGTAACTTGACAGACCAGAGAGACAGGACGAGACAGAGGTCTGCTGTCGCGTCTCGGTTACGTCGCGGAGGCGGCATCCTTGATGCGCCGGTAATCCGGTCGGGACATGGAAATACGGAAGAGATTCCGGAAAACGGATTACAATTCCTAACATAGCCCCGCCGATCCCGAATGCCCCGCCGAATTGCGTGCCAGACGGCGGCGCCGCCGCGCTATTAAAACACAGACGCGCGCGCACGCGAGATTGCGTTATTATTAATCATCCGTATATCGTTTACGCGGCGCGGCCGGGTCCCTCGCCAATTATTAACGGCCGTTGCGCCCGTAGGTATTTACTTATTAATTAACCGATTAACGTTTCGCAATTATGCGCCGTCACGCTCCGCTAACGTTCCCGGAAATCGCGCGCGCGCGCGCGAGTACACACGCGCCTCGCTCGTACCCTCATCTCGCGTTCCTTGCGCGTTCGATTAATAATCACCGACCACGAATTATTATCGACGCCTGTGACGTAGCGCGGCGCAGAAATACCCCAAGTCTAAATCCCATTAATTCGCTGTTTCCAAACGATGCGAATCAATTTTGCAAACCGCAGCTACGCAAATTCATTTACCGCGCTGTTCTTTATTTCCAACGAATGTCGGATATTTTGCAGGCTGATGCGTTAATATGCATCGATTTAATGATTAAATCCCGTCGTCGGCGAATTAACAAATCGCCCACTCAACCCGTGGAATTCTCTTTCATGAGTTATTTTTGAATACGTGTACTTTCATAAGGTCGATCAGTCAGGGATGAGTTTTCTCGCGTCGACGTTTCGCGCGTCGCATTTTTACTCTCACTCGAACAGGGTTCTCTCGCGTGTGGCTCGTGCCGAAGACAATGGAATTGAAATGTTGTAATGTTTATTACGCGTCCCGTGCGGAGGATAATTACAATGCGCCACAAATCACGTGGCGCATTGGCCAGACACTGAATAGAGTATCTCCAGTCACGGCGCGGCGATTTCTACGAGCGCGCTCCGCTCGTAAATGCTGATTTATCAATTAATCGGCTGACGCACCGTGACCGTATCGAGTCACGCGCTCCCCTTACGATTACGATGACCCCGAGTGCACCGGACGATTCGTGAAGCTAAAGATACCATAGCGCGGACCTGCAGACGTAACATCTACACGAACAAAATACCATAGTAATAAAAATTACGTTAAAATTATATTTCTTTCTGTAACGTTTTTTGTAAAACTGAACTGCACTGAAATTGTAGTATGGATGACCCTAGAAATAGTAAATTTTGACGATCTATCCAATTAGAAATTTATTTTATGGCCTATTCGGTTATCCAATTTGTATAATTTGTGATGTTTTAATCGGGTCGTGATAAGTCATGTAACGCAACGTGGCAATCAGGAACTGATTAATAATAAGAATTATTAATAATTAGGACTCGATAACATCACTTTATATGAATCAGATATCTAATTGAGATTGACCTGATCAGGACTAAATTCTTAGCGCAGTATCTGATATGTGATATAAAAAACATTCAAAAATTACAATGATTTTATAGTAAAAAATGTGTAATATCAGATTTGTATAATAATTTTCGTCGTAATTCTGTAGGGTCCACGATTGCAAAAATTTTGTCCATAATTTTCTACCACAGTATTTTCTCCGTGTGCAAAAATACGAAATAACCAATGCTAAGGATTCTTTTATTGACTCGGACATAAATGAAAATACTGTGACATTGAAGAGTCTTTGTTAATTATGAACGGTCAAAACTAAAAGCCTATTCGCGAATTGAGTTCCGCAAATTTTTATAGACAACGAAATTTTATTCGCCAGTCAATTTCGGGCTAGGCGCTTTGCTCTGAACGGAATTCTGATTCTAAATTTCGCCCGTCGAACGTTTAATGCCGGGAATATTCGCAGAAATCGGGGATCCGGCGAGCGACGCTCGTGCTGGAGTTTCCGCTAAATTAGGATGCGCGCTTTTGCGCGGGAAGAGATCGCGGAACACGGAATGACCATCCGTCATTCGATTCAGCGCGCTCCCAACGTCGAATCTGTCGCGCCGACAAAGCCCGTGAGTAAACCGAGCGTGCGCGAATCCTACTACATGCTGCCTCCGGACCCTTCGTTATCCCGACAGCCTCCGCTCTCTGCTCCAACCTGGAGGTTATGAATAATACATATTAATTGCATCGTTCCCGCCCTCTCTTTCCCTTTCGCGTCCGCTCTCTTTCTCGCTCTTCGTGCGCGCGGCATATGATTCGTCGGCGGCGCCAATTTGTTGCGTGCGTTTCTGGAGAACCGAGCGGCCGGGCTCGATAACGCATTAGCACGCATGGATATCGCGATAACAGACGCCGATAATTAACTGGATGGTTGTTACGTGGATGGCTGGAAGGGTCCCGCCCTCGCATCGTTCGCGCACGATAAACGTTCATTGTCGAGAGCGCTTTAATCCTTAACCCTCTCTGTGATTCCGCGGAATAAATAGAACCCGTACGGATTTCATCTCGTCTGTATAGCGCCCGCTGTTTTGAAAGCCTCCAATTAACACACTGCGCACGATAGAGACGCATTATTGCGCGCGTCATTACCGCAGTGACTTGAGGAAAGAAAGACCAGCATTGCGGCAGATTGTTCTCGCAATACCGCTTAATCCAGCTCGAAACTACTTTGCTCCGCCTCAGACGGAGAAGTGGCACGTCTGTCGCCTATTGACAATTCGTTCTACACCAAGATACACTGAGATACACTATACTTAAATATATTGAGCGGACAATGTTTGGTATATGTGTAACTATAATCACATTGAGAAATAATTACGATAAATTATAGTTAAGGAAAAACCACTCTTTTTATTAAATTCTACTGTAATGTTAGCGATAATGATTTTCTATACATGTTACTACTGCTATTTTCGTGTTGGAACAACCAAAGATATGGTTGAGACCAGAAATAATTATAATTTAGATCAATAATAACTATCATTTAGATCAATCGTGTTTCTCTCAAGGGGAGATCGAGGCTAGCTGACACATTTTTCAGAATTTCGAATTTACAATATTTCAGATAACTAATTATTGTGCTTGGCTGCACAAACGCGATAGATCATGACTTCCTTTATGTTTTTATGTCTGCAATAATCCTGTAAACCGTGCATTTTCTTCTGCAAAAACTGAAAACGACACGTTGCAATGTGGCCATTTTGCTCTAATCGAGGGTCAAGTTGGCTAGCAACTTAGGATAAAAGAAAAAAAGACTACATATAAAATATGTCCTCATCCGGAGTAGTTCCGGAGTCTCCGCGAGAGGTCTCCACAATCCTGTCGACCTGTGTTAAGTGGTAGACAATATTAGCTCGTTCTTGCAAATGCTCGCTTTCACTCATCTTATGATTCGCTTTTATTATCTGAAACAATGTGTCATATACTTACAGGAAACTTCTTTCATTCCAACTAATAACACGTCACTTAAACTTGTTCACTCACGATGGAGAATATTACTAACCAAATTATTATTAAGCAAAATATTATTTAACCTAATTTCGAAACTCTCAAGAATGTATCTGACTGCTACTAAATCAGTTTTCCCATTTTGTAACTGTAATATTATTCTGATTTTATAATGAAACTCTGTCCCTCTCTCTTTCTCTTTGTCTCTCAGAAAAATGTATCAACATTTTAACAGTTCGCGATTTCGTTTCCACTGTTTCACTCGCGACAAAACGAAACGCATGGCTGAGATCCCAACTAGAACCGATCTCTCCTAGATTATCCGAGTCGATTCTTACGTCGAGACGCGACACGTCTCGCCTCAGAGATAAGTTAATCCGACACGATATCTAAGAGACGCTATAAAGTTTCGATCGTGATTTGCTCTCGATGGACAAGACACACGTTTAATACATACGCACATTTTCCTCGTATGTTTGCAGGTCCTCGTAGAATACGACGACGTGGAGTGGCAACGGAGAGAGTGGCTGTCGCCTCACAGGGATGCCGTGTTCTCCTTCTTTCTCATCGAACGTGGTCTCTACTGGGCCGAACGACCTGACCCCAGGCACGCCAGTCTCATCCCCATCGATCATCACAATCACGCGAACAATAACCACCATCAGCATCGCATTAACGGGAAACCGCTCAGGAGCGCCGCGACGGTCGCCGACACCGTTGCTTGGCCAGCTCTCGTAAGTCAAAGCAAATTGTGCTCGAGTTTGTCGCGAGCGATGACACCCTGACGACTTCGGCTCGCTGACGATTTCTCCTCGTGAACGTCGCAGCACGGGGATATGAAAAGTGTGTGCTCTTCCGTTTCGTCGAATACTTTCGTGAAACTTGATTCCTTGAGTAATGATTTGGGAATACGCGAATAAAGGATGGCGCGGAAAACTTTGCATATTCACTTGCATTATTTCACAAACTGTTTTTCCTTTTATTTGCATGACAATGTGTTACGAATCGGAGGAAATTTTTTTCGCTAACTACTCTAGTCGCGAAATACTCTAGAGATCGTTTGGTATGTCGAAAATATTGTCGGGAAAAACGTCGTTCGCACTCGTAATCACGCATGTAATATGCGTGAAATTCATCAACTTGTCGCGTGCGGGTCTCTACGAATTACATACGGACGTTGTCAGGGGTTACCATTTTTTATGCAAATCTTTCATATTTTATCGATGATAAACGAGGATGCTCGCGACCCATTCGAATATTAATCAGTCCGTGGTTAATTAATGAAATACCCGATTCCATTCCCGTTGAATAAATTTTACGATCGACACAATTTGACCGGTATAAAACGGACCGCCGCGTTCCATTGGTCCGGCGCTTTTTTGCTCGTTAAAATACTCCGATTGAGCGAGCTTAATTATTTTGCGTAAATCCAACGGCGCAAAAGTAATTACATTTATATAATATTAAACTTTGCCTTCAGTGTGTGGATTTTTGCGGCGAAATTCTAAAATCAAAGCTCTGCGCGCGGAACGATAAATACCGCCGGGAAAGATCGCCGCTTGCGTTGATGTAAACGACTTTTTTCATTTATTTTTTTCATCCAATAATAATTAATTTCGGTCCGATGGAACACGTTGGACAAGGTTTTTCTCCCCTTCCTTTTTTTGGTAACAAAAAATGAAATTAATGAATAAATACAACGAGGAAGGTGCGCGTTAAATAATGGAAATCTGCCGGTCGTGCCGAGCCTGAATGTTATTTCGCGAGATGATCGAGAACCGCGTCCCGCGTTTGTTTCCAGACTTTCTATCCTCTCGTGGCACGCGCCGAGTTGCATGAGGACGCCATGCCGATCGAGTTTATGCAGGACCGCAAACTGGACTTCGTCGACTACTCGAAGCTGAAACCGTTCACTGTAAGTACCACGAAGTGGCTGCAATCGTCGAGATCGTGCGACGATTACTCGAGCGTCACACATGACGACGAGTCCACTCTCCATCGATCTCGTGTCTTCCTCCATACAAAGCGACAAAATTACACTTGTACCGAGCTACAAACGATACACTTTCCGCGGGTAACGGCGTCGGCCAAGTGAGCACACCTCGTACCACGACATCGAGCTCGACAAAACGAAACTAACGCTTTCGTTCGGCGAAAGGACTGAATAATCCAACGGCATTCCTTAATCGGTCATTCACCGGAGCGCCTGCACCTGCTCTCTCCGGCTGCCGCCGCCGTCACCGTCGTCCTCGCGGTGGTGGCGATGGTGGTGGTGGTGGTGGTGGTGGTGTTGGTGGTGTTGGTGATGGAGGAATGCGAGAGATGTAAAACGTGCGCGAAATTCGCACGCGCGAGCGAGATGCACGGGGACAATTTCCGGCGACTTGGTCCGAGGTACATTGACGCAATTCGTTATCTCGTTTCCTTCCTAATTTCCTCACGACGCGCGGCGTCCCGCGCGCATTTCACGCGCGAGATGCGATAGGATCCCGAAGGCGATTAAGAGCCCGCGCGAGTTCGGCCGGGGCGCTGCGCTGCGCAGCGCGGCGTGGCGGCCACTTCCGCTTTACGACTGGAAACTTACTTCGTTAGGGACGATGGAACTTAGTTAGGGAACAAGTTTCGCAGCCATTGGCGCGTCCGACACCCCTCCAGGGCAACGGACGCGCGGGAACAGCGAGGGAGCAGCGCGTCTCTCTCTCTCTCTCTCTCTCTCTCTCTCTCTCTCTCTCTCTC